TCCTATTTTTCCCACAAGTCTGTGAGATTGGGTAGGTTAAGAATGATTGGCCCAAGATCACCTAGCAAACTTTCTTTCCAACTCGTAAACTTAACTGCCATGCCACATTGGTTCTCTTACAGCTACTGTTGTTGAGAGATATTGTCATATCCTAAACTGATGCTACACTTGTGAGATAGTCCAGACAGGAAGACACCCAGAAGAACTAACTCTACTTTACTCCTGATCTTCTGCAAGGTTTCATGATGGGACCATCCTGAAAAAGAGAGAGGGAGGGAGGGAGGGAGGGAGGGAGGGAGGGAGAGAGAGAGAGAGAGAGAGAGATCCCCCTATTGACTTATTCCTTCTTGAAACATCAAATATAGCCTTTCCTAGCCTGGCACTACCCAGGTCTTGGAACTACAACTCCAGAATTCTCAGCCAGCGAGGTCTCTACCAGTCCTTAATTTCAAGTTTGCTTGATTGACTACTAGTTTTCTATGAAAGGGAGTGGATTGCAGTGGAGTGGAAGAGAATTTCTGGAATTGGCACCAGTTTCTTTAGGCTCTGTTTTCTTGACACTCAATAGGTAGTGAACTTAATCAAAGTCAGGAAGGAGTTTGTGTGTGTGTGTGTGTATGTGTATACAGTACAGAATTTCAGGAGTAAAATCCTGGATCACCAATCCTCTTCTGCACCATTCTTGGATTCCTTTTGCTCTTGGTCCCTTGGCCGATGTCTCACAAGTTGTATTGCCCCCAAGAAATTACTCCTGTCTTTTGTGCTGCATCTGACTTTGACTGCTTCAAGGTTGCTTAATGTATAGATTGTATCTACCTTCTGGGTCATTCTCAATTAGCTGGCTTCATCAAAGCCAGTGAAGCCTTGCCTTGGGGGAAGGTCAGGGTTAGGTTGAGGTTAGCTACATCAAGATAACTAGATGAAGATCTCCCCCCTCCCCCAAACACACTGTAGAGCAAGCAAACTCTGCATGAAGGTGAAAGAGAAGACAAACAACATTTTCTGCATTTGGCAGAGAAATTGAAACTTGCAGTTCAAGAGTTCTATTTAAAATATAATCATTAGGTTCTCCCCCATATTTTTATCATCGCCTCCCAGGCCTTATCTTCCTCCCTCATATTCCTTCTGCCATTCATTCTTTTTAAATGGCACCTGTAAAAATTATTTCAGCCAAGTGTTCAGATAAGCAGCAATGAATTTTCCTTTCAAATAATCCAGGGTGGCCCTTTTATATTTGGTATAATGCGGTAGTAATAGGGAAAAATATCCAAACAAAGGCAAGGAGCTCTTGCTTTCTATGGGAAGCTGCTATGCCATTTAGTGTGTTTCTTGCAATACTAAATACTAACAACTGACTGCCCCTATTCTGACAACCCAAGATCTATATCCCTCAAATTGAGCTGTATAATCTTTGTAACTGATGTAAATCTGGAGTGGAGTGGAGCACTGTTTGGCAGCTCTAAGGCACCCTTAACATTTTGGGGGAGGGTGAGAAAAGATGGCAAAAATAGTGGATTAATGTCTATGGAGATTCTCAGACATCCTGTCATAGTTGTCCCAAGGGTGTTTTTTCAAAATGCAACTGGACTTTCATACAAGAAGCGTCTTTTCTGAGAAGAAAAACGTCTTCAAGGAAAAACAAAGGAAGTCTGATTGCCTTTTGAAAAAGTACCTTTGGGTAATGGATTAATGGAGCTTTGGCAAAAATACGGGTGACATCGGGATTTCTTTGGGATTCTTTTTTCCTGGTTTTGCTGGGGAAATTGCTTTTTAAAAATCCATGTATGGGTTTTAAGTGTTTCCTGGGTCAATTGGTGAGAAAGTAGGTCTTTCATTTTAAATATTTGGGGGCTGCATACAGTACATTCCTCATACACTTGGATTACTTTCTTGTGATATAAATGAAAGCAGATATTTGTAGTGTTCTAATACAAAAAATGATATTTGATTTAATTTCCCATTTTTAACCAATTAATCCCTGGTAGGAAGATATTTAAACATGGAACGGAACTATGTTGAATCAACAATATTAATGTTATTTGTTTGATATTTGTGAAGTCCTGGAAATCCATAATTGATTTTTATGTTGGCCATATAAAAAGCTTTGCATGGAGAATACAGGTGTAAAATTTGTCCTTGAAATTTAGGTACATAGCTAGAGCTCCCTGAAAAACTATTACCAAGTAATAATGATTAGGACATTGGAGAAAATTATGAAATTGATGGAAAACAATTGTTTTAACCATCTTAATTTAATGTAAATTTAATTTAGTTTTTATGCCACTCCTAGTATTTTTGTAAGAAAATTCGTGGCACTTTATTCAATGATTAAAGTCAACTCATGGCCTCAAAAAGATTGAACATTTCTGATTTTGAGCAGACATGTTCAATATTTGGCATCTTCTGTTTAAAAAAAAGTCCAATAGCTAGTGAGATCCATTGCTTATCACAGATAATATTGGGTTTCATAAACAATAAGTTGGATTTTGATGTTAGAGCAATTTCTTATATTTCTAAGGATGTACATAGGTTAGTTATCATTAGTTATCAGGGGACTAGCGGCTAAAACATATAAGGAACAGTTGCTGGAATTGGGTATGTCTAGTCTAATGAAGAGAAGGATGAAGGGGGACATGATAGCAGTGTTCCAATATCTCAGGGGCTGCCACAAAGAGGAGTCAAGCTATTATCCAAAGCACCTGAATGCAGGACAAGAAGCAACAGATGGAAACTAACCAAAGAGAGAAGCAACCTAGAACTAAGGAGAAATTTTCTGATAGTTAGAACAATTAATCAGTGGAACAACCTGCCTCCAGAAGCTGTGAATGCTCCAATACTGGAAGTTTTTAAGAAGAGACTGGACAGCCATTTATTTGTCTGAAATGGTATAGGCCATGGTTTCCTGCCTGAGTAAGGGGTTGGACTAGATGACCTCCAAGGTTCCTTGTTGTTGTTGTTGTTGTTGTTGTTGTTGTTCTTCTTCTTCTTCTTCTTCTTCTTCTTCTTCTTCTTCTTCTTCTTCTTCTTCTTCTTCTTCTTCTTCTACTTCTTCTTCTTCTTCTTCTTCTTCTTCTTATTATTATTATTATTATTATTATTATTATTATTATTATTATTATTATTATTATTATTATTATTATCTTCTGATAATTTGTCAAGCAGTGCCCTGAATAAAGAAACTTTAAAAGCATTTTAAAACTGCATGTTAATTCAGTATGGACAGTTTATCTTGGGATATACCTAGTTAAAAGCTCAAGGACGGAGGTAATACAGTATATATAAACTGCTTGTTAAAATATTTTAAGTTCTAGTATTTGATAATGTGCTATTGTGTAATTGATTCATGCCTACCTACAAGTTCTGACTTCTTGATATAGCCTGGTATTTCTCAACATTTTTCCATGTCTTGTGTCAATAACTCAACATGTTTGGGCAATTGTTATGACTCGACTTCTGACATCTGATAGATCTCACCTCCCTAAAAAAAAAAAAAAAAAAAAACTCAGACTTCCAGACTAAGCATTGAGAGAGGAGCTGCTATCTTCATTTTTAGGAGCACTGGCACATTTTAGGCATTGTAGAGAATAAAAATGGAGCCTGCAGCCCACTACTACTGTATAATCACTATTATTGTAGATTATTATAGTATTGTAGATAGCGCTGGACAGGGAGTTGATTGGAGGAAGATGCTGCCTTTGAAATGGACCTGCTGGCCAACATTTTCCCAAAGGCAATCTCAAACACAGAAGTCGCCATGGCCACTTTTGAAAAAACTCTGCGCTTAATTTCAATACTTTTTTTTTTAAAGGCTGATGTTGCAATTGAATGCATGATCAAACTTAGTCAATAGTTACAAATAGTAAACCACATTTTACTTGATTTCCAGAGCTATGGGAGTTCTGTATTTTTATTAGTAAAATCAGTTTTTTGACTGGGACAGCTGGACAACTCTGCCAGTCATCACAGTATCTTAGTTGCATGTAACAAATATTAAGCCTTGCTTGGGAAAGTGAAAGGATAGCAAGCAAAATAAATAGTTTAGAGGAATATTCTATTTTTTAAAAATATCCAGGATTTTGGTCAAGAGTGACCATGTAGTATATAAATTTAAGGTATGGGCCCGGTTCTTTTAACAAGCTGCCATTTATGTTTTTTGAATACATTATGGACTACTTCTATAGTCAGATTCTTTGATTTTTCTTAATTTCCAGTGATTTCTTAACCTAAGATGTTCTTCCCTATTACAAGTGGCCAAAAGTAATTACATGAAAGAAAAGCTCCTGTTTTCTTATATTTCTCCTTTCCTTCAAGGAATAAATAAGTTGTTGCCCTCATTTTGCACTTGATATCACTGTATGAAATAATTCTGAGAGGCGTTGACTTGCCTAAAAGCCAGGTACAAAATTTTGTTTTGGACAAGACCAGAGAGATTGTAATCCCCAGTCTGTTATTCTGACCCAAGATAACCCTGTGAAAGTTTTAGCAAAATAGAAACCAGATCCTATCCTTTCTGGTTCTAAGCCAATGCTGTAGCCCCATTTTTGCCCACCTCATCTTCACCAGTGGTATTTGATGATGCCATCAGCATCATGACAAATGTTGCAAATTGTGATATCTGGAGGGTAATACTGCCCTAGTTATTATTATATAAAATGGTTCTCATTAAAAATGCAGTATTAAGTTATGAAGAGGAATTTCTATACACAGCTATAATGAAATATGCACATTGGAAAGACTTGAATGTCAGTTCTGTAAAGAACCTTGTCCCTGTTTCCAGTTATGAAATACAGAGACGATCAGTTTTGTTCATTGTTTGCATCTGTTTTTCAGTGGGATAACTGAGCATACCAATCATTTTTTTAATTGTTGCATCATATTTTTTTTTTAAATTATTAGATTAGTTTTTCATCTCCCATCCTGTTTAGGATTAAAATGAGCTATTGGTAAAGAAAGGTATTCCGGATATGATAGCATGCTTTTTCTGTATTTTTAAACCACAGTAAAAACCGGCTTGTGACTATAGTGCCAAGTGATGCTCCCTTTAATACCAGAAGAGCTTACACAAGTGAAGATGAGGCTTGGAAGTCTTATCTGGAAAACCCCTTAACAGCAGCTACTAAAGCTATGATGAGCATCAACGGAGATGAGGACAGTGCTGCTGCTCTGGGATTATTATATGACTATTATAAGGTAGGAAGTCAACGGCTGAAAGTGGGTTTTTACAGCAGGTAAATCTGTTGCATTTAAATAAATCTGGCTCCTGTTGCATTTCCAGACTCAGTCCAAGAGGTTGATGTGAGGATAATTGGTCTGACACCTAAAGGACAAGGATACCTTTTTAAACTATGTTTTTTTTTACAATTGTTGTGAGCCATCTGGAGTCATTATATGAGATACATGGCCATAAGTCCTGAAAATAAATACATTAATTAACTAAGGGATATATTTTAGAACCAGCTGTAATCTGCCCTTGAAACTGTAGTCTGATTTGATGTAATCCATAGACTACCAAAGACCAAATAAAACTGATATGAAGTTTTAGATCTGGTCATCAATCCTAACTAGTTACCTTCACTATCATTAAGGAGACCTTAATATCCTTTAAATAAATAACAACATTCAAAAGTCATATGTCCTGATGTTTCAGGTTCCAAGAGATAGAAGATTATTGCCTGTTAACAAAGTGAGTGATAATCAAGAAGACCAGGAGAAAAGGTACAATGTCTCTAAATCTGCATCTCTCTTTCTGTGTATATGTGTGAGGGGAGATTTTGTTTAACTATAAAGATCAAATTAGCCAAGTTAAAAAAAAATCAAGCTGGGAGTATCAGGATTATAGAAGATAGCCTAAGTATTGTAAACACTGGAGGTTTTTAAAAAGAGATTGGACAGTCATTTGTCTGAAATGGTATAGGGTTTCCTGCCTGAGCAGGGGGTTGGACTAGAAGACCTCCAAGGTCCCTTCCAACTCTGTTATTCTGTTAAACATTTTCTTAAATGTTAAATACTGTTTAATATTATTAAAAAGTTTTAACTGCATCTTGTTCTGAGAAGCTCTCTTTTTTTCATAGTGAGGTCCATGTTCCAGAAGGAACACTGCTGGCTGTTTCTTCCACAGCAAAAGCAACAGCAGCATTCCATGGTGGACTGATAGACAATGGGCAGGCTATCCATAGAAATGTTTCATTCAGATGACTTATTGTTATTTCTATACTGCCCTTCATAAATATGTTTTAGGATTGTTTGCAATATTAATCCAAAGCATTATAAACATCAGGACAGCAGACTGGAATATTGTTTATAGTTCACCTTTCTTTGAAGGAAGTCAAATTTAGCACTCATAATTCTCTCCTTCCACTTAGCCCAAGGTTACTAGTGAATTTCATGACTCAAGGCAAATTCAAATGTAGGGTTCTGTTCTAGTCCAACACAAATATCAACACCATGTTGACATTTAATTAAGTAAATGATTTGATTATTTATTTGCATGCATTTAATCTATTTGCCACCTCTCAAAATTTGCTTTTACTCACTGTATTTTTTTCTCCTCAGAAACTGTCTTTCCACCAGTGAAACACAAAGTAACTTGAGCAGCAATGGTGAGAATAGAGTACAGGTCTTGAAAACAGTGCCAGTAAATCTCTCGGTGAACCAAGAGCAGCTGGACACTTCCAAAAGGGAGCAGTTCAGTTCAAATGTATCAGGAAGCCCATCCTCCATTTCTGTGACTGGAGTAATGGTGGTGAAAGCAGAAGAATATACCCCAGTTTACATGACTCCTTCAGTGCATTATGCCAGGGGAGAAAATGAAGAACATCGGGGAGTCATATTTGAACATGCGCATTATGAAGTGCCTAGCATCACACCCCATTCAACCTATATGAAAGATGATCAGCGCAGCACTCCAGACAGTACTTACAGTGATACCTTTAAAGATGGAGGAGCAGAGGTATGTCTGCTACTTTGGGCAATGTGGGAGCAGAAGGTGTGATATTCACTCATTGTTCACATGTTTTTTATTTTTCTCAATGAACATCAGGGCAGTTCATTCACTTTATCACCCCATTAAGTCAGTGATTTAGACATAATTGAGAAATAACGTTTGAAATAATGGCGTGCATAGTATTTCATGGATATTTCTCAGTTGCCAAATGGGATAAATTCCATCTTTGGAGGAAGTCTTCTAAATGCCCCTGTCCAAAGGCAAAGGATGACTAGAGAGTCTCTCAATGCTGTTATAAGTTTGTAGGATTATCTCTGCACCCGGTGCTAACATTCTTATTCTTTCAAATGAGAGAGTAAGAGAGAGAGAGAGTTTTGTTCTATCACATTTTCTAATCTATTAACTTAGTGTATTTGAATTTTGATTCTCTTAGCATTTGAATTTATTATTTTAACTTGTTTTAATTTAGACTGTTTTGACTTTTGTATGCTGCTTTGTATTTGTAAGTTGCCCTGGAAGGCTTAATGAAATATAGATTGTACACTTTTTTTAAATAGTTGAGATTTAATGTTGTAAGAATCTCTTTTGTACAGATGTCTGAAAATGTTTTGGGTGATTCTTGTGTGCAATAATGGAGATATAACATTGTCAGAATACTTCCCTTTTGACATTTTTTTTCTTTTGGGACATTTATTCAAAGTGTAAACAATGAAATGATCCATTATTATGGGATTTGAAGAGTAATCCTGGAATCAAATGCTAAGATTGAAATAGTTGTATGAACTCTTGCAAAAAAAGCTTCTAAAGGAAGAATACATTGGGAGCCCGATATAAAAGAACTGATAGAAATTATTTATCCAACACCTGGAAAACTACAGTGATGGAACACAATCATGCAATGAGCTCAATCCCATCTTTCTCTCCTGGGGAAATGATATTTTGAAGGGTGGGTGCTTCTATAAAAATGTTCTCTTCCTGGTTCTGCCAGATGACATTTCTTAGAAGATGGAACCTGGCGCATGCCTTTTTTGCCAGACCAAATGGGATGGGTAGACATAATCAGATAGAGATAGTCCTCCAAATAACTTGATTTCATGCCATGAAGTGCATATTACAGCCAGCAGTGTAAATTGAATCCCAGTGCAGCTCAAGGAGCAAACATGCGCTGGTCAAGGAGTGCACATAATTGACATGCGCTGGTCAAGGAGTGCACATAATTGGCTGTGCTTCCATATTCCATGCAGGACATAACTTCTGGAGGCTCTTCAAGGGCAGCCCCATGTAGAGTGCATTGCAACAGTCCATTTGAGAGGTGTTTTTTTAATTATTCAAAATACTTTTGAGTTTCAAAGAACACCTTGAATACAGGTGTTTATAAAACTACACTGCTTGCCTCTTTTAAAGTTAGCTTGATATTTTGTAGCTCATACGAGCATTTTAGAAAAGATTTTGTCTTTAGATCTATTGGATCGGACCCTGTCATGTTGAAATCAGTAAAGCTTAAGTTAGTTGTGACTTTCTGCTCAACTATTCTTGATATATATTTTATTTTTCTATCTTTCAGAAATTCCGCAGTAGTTCTGCGGGTCCTGAGGAATATATTTATGAACAAACAGCCAAGTAAGTATTGGCAATGAGAAAATACTGAAGGTATACACTAGACTTTTGATTGGTGTAAGGCCATAAAGTTGCATGGAGGACACTAATGCTGCAGAATCCAATCTGGGTCGGTCACCGGGACCAGAGGTTCTGTCTTCCGAGCGTTCGAACCCATGCTGGAGCCCATCTTCAGGAAACTTCTGTCTGGCCAGGCTCTGGTCCTGGTGACCGACCCAGATTGGATCCTGCAACACTAATTTTGCTTGGCCATTTATTATTAAGAAGGATTTGTTAACTTGCATTCAGCATACTCAGCCTCTGTTTTTTTTTATCCTGTCTAAATGAAATTCAGAAGAAGAAATATATCTTATAATGAGACCCAGTAGAGGTGTATTTTATACATGCAATTTGGGCCTCATAGCAAATTTCTTCTGCACATCATTTTGCATGGCCAAAGGGAGTATCTATGGTTGTGAGAGTGAATTCTTCATCTTACTGTAATATGTGAATGCAATATAAGTGTTATCTTGCACCAACACTGTCACTCTATCTAGAAACAAAATGATAAGGTTCAATTCTATCCACATAGTTGCTGGATTCACATACAAGCGGAAAGTGCTTTACAGGAAATTTTGTAGTTACTGATGCTAAAATGAAAATGTCTGGCGTCTAGCCCATGCTTTCTGTGCCATTCAGCCTCTGAGCAAGGCTTCACTAGATCTTTGTACTAAAAGGGCAAAGGTGGAATAGGGTTCTGTAGGTGATAACTAGGTCTTTGAACTGAGTCCAAATAGCTATTGGCAGCTAGTACCTTAAAACTGGTGAGATCCTGCAATGATTGCTCCTATTAGCAGTCTAGATGCTACATTTTGTATCATCTGCAAAGGCAGATTCACACAAAGTGCAGTCCAGTGATCTGGATGAAGGTTAACTAACTTCAGAGCATCTGATCCAAGCAGGGTCATAACTGGTACATCATTCAAATCTAGATGAAGGCTCCCTAGCCAAAGCTTCCACTGGCTACTTAATCAGGACCCAAGAATCTAGGAGAAACCCCACTACTTCTTGAAAAGGAAGCACAATCCTGTAAACAATAACTACTAGGACTAATATTTTTGTATTACCCAGTTATTTATTGACAAATAGCAACTTGATAAGATTTAATCTGAGTTTGGTTTGTTCTGTCCAGTCACCAGTTCCAGATTTCCATGGCATCTCCAGCACAGCCTGGAGTGGTAAATCATCCTTGGCAGATGCTGAGTAACTTCATTTGAATGCTACTTATCCAATGAAGGGGTACTTACTATTTCCCCTAGCAATTGGTTCCGCTTACATTTTCCCAAGCAATCAGGCAATATCTGCCCTTCTGAAAATTGAATTCAGTAATCTGCCCTCTAGAACAGTGGTTCTCAACCTTTCTAATGCCACGACCCCATAATACAGTTCCCCATGTTGTGGTGACCCCCCCAACCACTTATACATCACCGGGTGCCAGGGGTGTGGCCAAAGAAAAGGGGGGAAAGTGGCAGACAGCCTTGTTTGGCGACCCCTGTGAAATGGTCATTCGACCCCAAATGGGTCCCAACCCACAAGTTGAGAACCACTGCTCTAGAATGATAAATTATAACTCTTTACTTTCTTTTGGGTGATAGCTCTTCAGACATTTGAAAAGTATTATTTCCAGGGCTTTTTTTTGTCATAGAACGCCCAGAACAGAGTTCCAGCACCTTTTTGGGATGGAACCTTGTAGGGTAGGCCAGGGTTGTATGACGTGTGTGAGTTCCGGCACCTTTTTTTTTTTTACAAAAAAAGCACTGATTATTTTCTTCAGTTTCAGCTAACCATTCATACCACCCTTGGTTTCTTTCTCTATCACTTAATTTTCAGTCCTTTAATTATTTGTGTTGCCCTTCTCCAAACCTGTTCAAGATGATCTGAATCTTTCTTCAAATGTGATGAATTGAATAAAATACTTGAACAGAGTAATATGGAACAATGATTTCCTGTGATTTAGAAACTGTATTTTCATTGATGTAGACTAAAAACCATTCAGTTATAAGTGCCCTAATTTGGATTCCTGCACAGCTGGATTCAAGGCCCCTTTGAGGTTGTTGAAAACATGGATTGTATGGACCAGAAGTGAATTGTACTGTGAATTTTCATGTTTTTTTAGCATTTTTATGCAGGGGTTCTCTGAGACTTGAAAGTTATTTCAAGGTTTCCAACAGGGTAAAAAGATTAAGAAAGACTGCTTTAAGCTCTCCAGAATCTTCTATCATTCATCTTCATTGGATAAATCTAGGTCAGCGGTTCTCAGCCTATGGGTCGCGACCCCATTTGGGGTCGATCGACCATTTTTCGCGGGTCGCCAAAGAAGGCGATCCGCCATTTTCTCCCCTTAGGGGGCAGTGCCGCGCATGCGCACCGCGCCGCGCATGGGGCGGCGCCCCGCATGCGCACCACGCATGGGGCGGTGCCCCGCATGCGCACCATGCATGGGGCGGTGCCGCGCATACACGCCGCGCATGGGGGCGGCGCCCCCATGCGCATGGCGCCGCGCATGCGCAGAACGTTTGTGTGACAGGGGTCACCGTCACACAAACGTTGAGAACCATTGATCTAGGTTAAATCCAATTTATATTGTTATGAGAGAGGGAATGACATTCACTATTCACATTCTTCACGACATGCATACATTTCAAAATCTCTACCATCTCTATCATTATTTTTTTCTAACTGAAAAAAACTACAGCTCTAAACTTCATTTTGTGTACAGCCTTTTCCAGTATTATATTAATTTTTTGAGAAGCAGCAATTGTGGTTTGTCCAATATCATAAATGTATCCACAAGGTATATTTAGAAAGACATGACAATATTGTTGGTTTTGTTTTTCATCCCTTTCCTAATGACTCATTGTATGGAATTCACCTTCATAGTTATCTCACATTGTATTGACATTTTCATTAAATTACCTGTCAGAGTCTCAAGATGAATTGAGCTCATCTGCATATATGTGAAGGTAGGATTCTTTTTCTCAAATGTGCATTATATTGCAGTTATTTGGATCAAAACACATTTCCCATTTTGGAAAATATCCTCAAGCACTTTGGGTTTTACATTTGGGGTCATTAACACTCACGATTATAAGTCATTTAACTATGTTAAAAAGCCCTGATCCACAATCTTGAGTGCAGATCCTTAAGGAATTCACTTTTTCCTTTATGAATACAGAGATGTGGAGGAATGCATTACAAAAGTATTATCTGTATTACCTTCAGCATATTTTCTTTTTAAAAAATGCAAAAAATATCCTTTCTCCTTTCCTTTTTTTTTTCAAAAGCAGAACCTTTCTTAAATAAGCAAAAGAGAAGAACATTATTAATATAATATAGGCTATTTTGTATAATTAGGTTTCAAAGGTAAAGCATTTGATCAAATAATTTCTTAGCAGAACCAAAGGTGTGTTTTTTTATCTAGGAACTGGTGATTAAATGAACCCTGCTAGTTTCAGCCCTGGAATAGCACTTTTTCAACTACTGACAGTTTTTCAATCTCAGCTTCTAACATCACAAAATACTTGTGAAAGAGTACGCTAAATTTTGTTCTGATTGTGTTTTCCCACTGTTCCTTTAAAGTTCTGTCTGTTCAGAAACATTCTTATGTGATCACCGTCAATGATATAGTGACTTGAAAACATGTTTCCATAAAACACAGGAATTTTTAAAAAAATCCTTGAAAACAAGAAGCTAGAATTCTGGTTGCATAATCATAATAATGGGGCAGCACATAGTGCAGACAGTGGGGTGTGGTATTTATCACATCATTGATGTAATAAAAAGGAGAAAAGACTTGGGTTCACTTTGTTTTTCATTAAAACCTAAGATTCACTAGACAGCAAAAGAATTGAAGAGCAATGGGCCTTTGAAGCAGAATTTTGGTTCCCCCCCCCCTCACTAATATGAGCTTGAGAGGGTGAGAGAGGCAGACAGATGCATAAGATAAAATGAGAACAGTCCTCTTCATTGGGGGAAGAATATTGCAAAAAGGAGAGTCAAGATCTAGTCTTCACTCAGAGTAAATCTTTTGTAAAACTAAGGTAATGATTTCATTCAAAGCCAAATACTTTGAATTACAATAGGAAGTAATCCACTCTCCCGCCAGTCACTTCAAGAATTTAAACACAGAAGAAAGCTGAGTGAAATGGCAGAATACGTTATAATCCCTGCTAAAAAGTAAATCCATATTTATTTAAATCTGTCCTGAATTTGAGACTAAGTATAAAACATAACATTCAGTTAGGAAGGATCACTAGATTGCAAGCATGTATTTCATATGACATTTTTACTGGTTGATAAAGTGAGGAGACTCTGTATTGCTGAGTCTGGATGTAGGTTCAAAAGTTTGTTTAGTTCTGGGCAGCTGCTCTTAAATTTAACAATTAAGAATAACATCCCCGTACAGGAAGTCCTTGGCTTATGACCATAATTGAGCCCAACATTTCTGCTACTAAGTGAAACATTTGTTAAGTGAATTTTGCCCCATCTTATGAACTTTCTTGAAACAGTTGTTAAATGAATCACTGCAGTTGTTAATTAAGTATTACAGTTGATTAAGTGAATCTGGCTTCCCATTGACTTTGCTTGTCAGAAGGTGGATCAAATGACCCCAGAGCATTGCAACCGTCATAAATCTGAGTAAGTTGTCAAGCATCCGAATTTTGATCACGCGACCATGGGGATGATACAACAGTTGTAAGTGTGAAAAACGGTCATAAGTCACTTTTTTCAGTGCTGTTGTAACTTTGAACGGCCATTAAATGAACAGTTGTAAGTCTAGGACTACCTGTACTTTCTAAACAATGGATCTGGTGGTGCTGGTACCTGGTAGTGCTAATATACCACATGATCTGCCTACAGAGATGGGTCTTGTACTTGATATGAACAAGCACAGGGTAGGATTGCCATTGGAAGGATTGGAAATTAAAGTGACATTTCAATGCAAATTTTAGCTGAATGAGAAGAGATATGATGTGTTTTGTTCAGCAAATTCTCTCAGCGATACCATTATGGGACTATTGTGAAAATCTTAATTTTTACATAATTCCTATATTTTTCAACTAATCCAACTGGATCCAATATGCTCAGAGCTGTGCTTGATGTTGTTATTCCTGGGACAAATAGTCCAAGATCCTCTAGTGCAGTGGTTCTCAACCTTTCTAATGCCGCGACCCCCAACCGGTCGTAAGTTGAGGACTACTCAACTGGTCGTAAGTCAAGGACTACTCAACTGGTGAAGCACCGTTTGCAGACTGGGACTTTTGGCGGGCTCAGCAGGGCAGAGACAGCCTGGATAATTCCTATTGGCTTTTGAAAGCCAATAGAATTAGACTCTATTCAAGAGAGTCTATGCTATTGGCTTTCAAAAGCCAATAGAATAAAAGGGAGTAGCACAGCTAAGGAAAGGGGGGGGGGAAATGGCGGACTGTGTTGTTTGGCGACCCCCGTGAAATGGTCGTTCGACCCCAAATGGGGTCCCGACCCACAGGCTGAGAACCACTGCTCTAGTGAAATGTATAATTTCTTTGTATTTTTTTCAATTGTAAAATTTTTATCTTTTACAACTATTGAGTTTGTGAAAGTTGTAAATGGAAGGTTTTGATTCTATCTATTGTGCTAGCTTTTTAAAAATCTTAACCAGTTGACCAATCTGTAGGAGAGAGATAAGACAAATTAATAGAGTAAGTTAGTTCACAGTCTTGTTTGCTGTTGTATTATATAGGGAATCCCAGTTCATATTATGTTGCACTGCCAATCTGGATTGGCTCCTCTGTTCAGTTTCATGTAAAACACAAATGCTTTCTGACTGTGCTATAAATCGACTATGCTGTATAGTTTTACTTGAGAAAGGTATTTCTTTTACAAAAGCAAGCTTTGCTTTTATGTGAGCTAAGCGTACTATAAAGAAGGAGCTTTATATGAATTTCAGTATTCTCTCTGGATCAGGTATATGTATATTTTAGGTGCTGACCATGTCTAAGTCTCAAATAGTTGCCATTGACCTGGATTGGATTTTCAAGTGTGGCCTTTTACATGGCGTAGCTTAGGTGGCGCAGCAGTTAGAGTGCAGTACTGCAGGCCACTTTAGCTGACTGTGTTCAGCAGGTCAGCGGTTCAAATCTCATCGGCTCAAGGTTGACTCAGCCTTCCATCCTTCCGAGGTAGGTAAAATGAGGACCCAGATTGTTGGGGGCAATGTAAATATATATATACATTGCTTACTGGTGTACACCGCTTAGAGAGTGCTTGCACTTAAAGCAGTATATAAGTCTCATAAATAAATAAATAAATAAATGTTGTTACTGAAGTGTTTGTTTGTTTGTTTATTAAGATAAATAACATTAGTTTAGTGTAGTGGAGTTTTATAACAATAACTGAACTATCGTTCTAAGAACAATATTAAAAAGGTTGCAATCTTTCATATTTATATGAATTATGGCATCAATCTAAAGCATGAATTTAAAATTCTAAGGCCTTTATTCAACTCTTCCTCAATCATGTATTTTCTAAGTTTATTCTTATTTTCTTCATAGTAACACATTTCGATATACTTTGGAAGCTACCAAATCCCTCCGTCAGAAACAAGGAGAAGGACCAATGACTTACTTAAACAAAGGGCAGTTTTATGCCATAACACTCAGTGAAGCTGGGGACAACAAATGCTTCAGATATCCAATCAGCAAAGTCCGGGTATGGCTAATCTTGCATGTATACTAATTGACAATGTTGGTTGGCTAAAGATTTTTAATGTGTGTCCTTGTTTTCATTCTGCTGAAATTTGAATACAGTTATAACAACCAATCTCTTAATAGAAGCTTAAGCTCATTCTTCTCCAAAAAGATTGTGAATCAGGAACCTGAAAGTGAATTCTCAATGCAAAATGTCATGGATCACTATATCTGTCCTGGAATTCTAAATTGTTATAGGTATTGTCTGTTTCTTTGAAACGTTATGCTCTTGTTTTGCAATTTAACACACACACACACACACACACACACACACACACACACACACATTAAACAATAAAATATACAAACACCAGGAAGTTACAAAACTATAAAAAGTTTTAATAAAACCAGAATAAAACCAAGCTTTCGCTGGCTTCTGCCAGCATCATCAGGGTAGCGTCCAGTCGATGGGAGAAGCTATTTATAAATGTGGCGCTCTTTGCGCCCGGCTTCTTGACCTCGTCATGGGTCCCAGCCAATCCACCTGCGGTTTGATCGTAGTTTCTGTGTTGCAAGCTGTAATTTCCTCACTTTCCTTACTTGTGCCGGTACCGCAGCTCTTCCTCCCTTCTTTGTATGACTGTAAGTCGGGGGGACTCCTTAATTCTACATAGTTAAATGTGCACTGTCTGTGTTTATGTTGTTTATTCTCCTCATCCTCCCTCTTAGTACTCCCTATTTCCATTCTCCTCCCCGTTTCTCTGTTTACAGGGGGAGGAGAATGGAAATAGGGAGTACTAAGGGAGGATGAGAATATTAAAAACAAAACGGTGATAACAAGAAGGACTGCGCAAAAGCTATTAGAGCTAGCGGAAAGTGTTCCTTCAAATCCATAGCTTAAAGCAGGGCTTCCCAAAATTGGCAACTAAAGCATATAGACTTCAACTCCCAGAATTCCCCAACCAGCATGGCTGGCTGAGAAATTCTGGAAATTGAAATCCACATATCTTAAAGTATTAACACAACAGCATCTCTTCAAAGTTCAGTAGGGCTGTTTTGAGATCCTTTCCCTGTTTATAGCCATTTTGTGTGTGTGGATATAAGTTACTTGTGCCAGTATTGCCTTCAGACCATCTGAAAGCATTAGTTAAAAACAACTTATACTAGGAACACAAGCAAGTAAAAATATATCTTTCACTGGGTATTGAGAAGACATAATATTTGATACCAAACAGGTTTTTCTGAGTATAAGATACCGTAAAGAAAAAGACATCTCCCAGTCATCAGTTAGTTCAGTAATTCAAAAAGGTATGGAGACTTGGAGAAAGAACTGTAATGGTAATGCTAAAATTCAGACATGTTTCAATGGGAGAAGAGGATCCTTTACATTTCCAAAATATTTGGAGCTCTAAATATGAAATGTGGATGATGGCAAGCCACAGACCACAATCATAATTCATTCACTTACTAAGTTGTATAAGAAGGAATTATTGTGGTTTATTATCTGGGAGTAGGTAGACTTGTTTCTAATTTGGGTTGACTGAGTGCCATGTGAAGCTGGCATTTTTGTTCTGCTGGCAGGGCTAGGATTTTTCTCAGTTTTTTTTTCTTTTTAGCTGTACTGTACAGAGAAATACTAGGGCAATTCGATTTAACCACCATCTCAGTGTTACTGTGTGCCTGATATAAACATGGTTGTAGGACATTGTGGGAAATCAAAGAGTGGTCAGACCCTCCACTGCTGAGAATGCTACCACTGTGGATAGCTGGTAATTCAGCAAGGAATTCTTTGTCCAGGGTATCCGTTCAGACAGTAAGAGAATTTATCCCCAAGGAAGATGGTGGGCTCTGTTTCATTAGACATGTACAAACAGATCTTAAAAAGCAGGCCCTGGGGGATGCTTTAATGTGGATATCTGCAGTAAGGCGGCCATAGGGCTCAACTGACTTAATTGACTTTTTCAATCATTTTCTGTAAGTTGAGGATTGCTTAATTGTTGTTAGGTTTTATGAGTTTCTTCCTCTGTTTCCCTTGGGAGCTTGGTTGCCTTATGATAAACAAGGTACATTAAGAAAAAGCATTGGAGGCACAACTGGTTGATAGGATCTAAAAGTAGAGCATCAACTGGATTCAAACCAACCATGGCAGGTACCAATATTGAAAATATAAATGGGACCTGGCTGATAATCCTGACTGTGATTGTGGGAACAGCCCATAAGCTTTACATCATATTATGATGGAATGCCTCTTCAGAAGGTTCCCTGGATCCCTGCATGAAATGCACCATCTTGAGGGCACTCTGTCCAATGCCTAAATGATCTAGATATCCGGCCATAGGCTTAGCCACTCCAGTGACTGCTCACACATAATTCAGTTTTATACATAATTTTACTCATCATTTGTGCTGTGTGTTTTTAAAATAATTCATTGCTCTGATGTTTTATATTTTGATAGACATTTTTATATATTGTTTTGTACATTTTATGCATTAATGCTGTATTCTGTTATGCCATACATACATACATATATACATATATATATATATATATATATATACATAGTATGTATGTGTGTGTACATATATATAAATGTATGTATACATACACATATGTACTGTAAATGCCGGCGTACAAGGCCACCCGGCGTATAAGACGACCCCCGTCTTTATAGCCAGGCCGCATTCCTAGAACGTCGTCTTATAAGCCGGAAATACCAGTATTTCCGGCATATAAGACGACTCGGCGTATAAGACGACCCCCGTCTTTGGCGCCAATTTCAGCGCTCGCGGAAGTCGCCTTATACGCCGGCATTTACGGTATATATGTATACACACACACACACACACACACATTTATATTGCTTAGTATTTTGCTTTACTGACCATAACCAATTGATGATTGTTGTGTGGTCTTTCTAGAGTGTGATCATGGTTGTATTCAGTGAAGATAAAAATCGAGATGAGCAGTTGAAGCACTGGAAATACTGGCATTCACGACAGCACACAGCTAAACAGAGGGTCTTGGACATTGGTGAGTGATGAAATAAACCTGTGAACTCCGGTCTTCACTAATGCTTTTTATTACCTTGGAGACTAGCAACTAGAGAACCAATTCACATCCAGAATTTTATTCTGGAATAGCCAATTGGCAAACCAAGTCTGGTTTTGTATGTCACAAGGCTGCACTAATGTATTTTTCATGCTTGGTGCAAACTTACAGTATGAAACTTGCTTTTCACCTCTTGAAAACTACAGTATAATATTTCTGGGAAAATAAGCATTCCGTCTAAGCAAAGACTACATCTTCAAAGCCTAAACTGAATTTATTTTAGGTGTTAAATATTTTAGGTGAACTAGTAATACAAAAACAACTTGGGGTAAAAGTAGCAGAATAAGCAAGTCATGTGTTTAAAGTTATTTCAAAACTGCAGATTTCAGTTTCCCAGAATCTCTCATCGTATTTCTGTCACCAACTGAGATAACTCATTCTCTTTCATTGCCATGGTAACCAGTCACATACATTCCCATATATCTTTCCAACTGGCCATGAGGTATGCTGCATTTGACATCAGTTTTTAATACTTCTGGTATCTTCCCAATGTACTAGATTGTATCTCATTAGTAAATCTGGGAGTACTTGTTCAAGACATTTGGTGATGTCTAAACTAAGTAAGGATATCTTTACATGGCCATCTTTCCCAATCTCACCTTCTCCTGATCTCCCTATTTACTCTTCCTTTTCTTCCTCTATCTTTCAAAATAATTGACAAAAGATTAACAATGATTGGTAGTATAGGCCCATCCATATATCATTTTATCTCATGTGGTTATGCAATAAAGTGGTTGCAGACCACCAACTGAAAAACAGAGCTTTATTAAGGCTTTTAAAATAATTAAATTAAGTAAACTAAATTTAAGTGATTTTCAGGCTTTTGTCAAATGTTGACTTATTCAGCTCAGGAGCTAGTGGTGGTGGTAAATGATAGAATTGCATTGCAATGCAATATAAATGTACTAAAGCAGTAGAGTTTGCAGCCTAATAGCATGAGACTGCCTTCATCATTTTTGTGAGAGACTTTGATCTTGTGAAGATCTTTGGTCTACCATCTGTCTTCTTGGTACTGAAATCCAGGTTAGGAGTATTAACATCCATGCACCAGCCAGCCCTTATTCCTTTTTCCTGCCAAATTTAGACCCTTCATAAGGGAGCAGGGTTGTGCTCCTTTTATCTTTTAAAATAAAAATTTCCCATAGTTGTTCAAGTTTCCTGGCAGCTCACACAAATCATACTTCTGATTAAAAAAGTTTGTAAGAAATTACATGTTAATATTAGCTACTTGAATAGTGTTATGTGATCTTTCCCTTAGTTTTTCTTTCTCTCTCAGAGGTAATCAGCTTTCCCTGATTCTTCCAACCTTTTGTCATGTTTTAACTTTCATTTATGCTGAACTTAATTGGACACAGTATACAGAAGATTACTTAGTTAGTCTTCTGTGTTCCATTTATTCAATTGTGTAATATTCCAGTATTTAGTATGAAATAGGAGCCCTCTTCAAGGTTCTCCATTGCTTACCTTAAATTCTTCCTTTTGTGTTTTTACGTAGTTTAGAATCATAGGAATTTTGAACTTCATCCAGTCCAACCCCATGCTTAATGTATAATCTATATATAGAATGTGAGCCCAGGTACCCCGCCCCCACCTATGACCAAAATTGAGCCCAAAATTTCTGTTCCTAAATGAGACATTGGTTAAGTGAGTTTTGCCACATTTTACAGCCTTTCTTGCCACAGTTATTAGGTGAATCGCTTCACTTGTTAAATTAATAACACAGTTGTTAAGTGAATCTGGCTTCCCCATTGACTTTGCTTGTCAGAAGGTTGCAAAAGGTGATCTCATGGCCCTGGGACACTGCAACCCTCAAAAATATGAGTTAGTTGCTAAGCATCTGAATTTTTGATCACATGACCATGAGGATGATGTAGCAGTTGTAAGTGTAAAAAAGGGTCATAAGTCACTTTCTTCAGTGATGTTGTAATTTCGATGTTCATTAAATGAACTGTTGTAAGTCGAGGACTACCTGTACAATATCTCTGACAAAGCCATTGCTTAAATGCTTCCAACAAGGGAGAAGCCACTATTTCAGGGGCACCCTGTTCTTTTCTTCTTCATCAGCTCTTGTTTTTAGTAATTTTCTCCTAACTTCTCTGCCATTTTATACCAGCTGATTCTATTTCTATGTTAAAGAGTTCTGCTTGATAGCTATTTGAAGATTGTGACCATATCTCCCCCTTCCCCCAAATCTTCTCTACTTTGGGTTTGTTTTGCAATGATTGCTTGATATTTGTACAAGAATTATAGGGTAAGAATCTTAGCAAAATATATGAGAAGATATTCAAACACTTAGTCTCTATGTTTGGAGCATATTCACAATATAAAGATAAAATCTCTTTAGCTACCTTTCTAGAAATATGTTACCTAGGAATGATGGCCATTGTTGAGCTGTGATTTTAGGAGGAAACAGGAGGATAGAGATTGCATTGCCAATCATTTATCCTTTTCCCAAGTAGTTTTCACAACTTCTTTTGCGGTCTTTGAAAAGATATAGAGATTTATTTTCTGAAATAAAGAAAATGATAAGCAAGTAAAAAGAAAAATGCATCTAAACACTAAGTATTAATATCTAAGTTTCTTACAGCATTATCAGATAAAAATCAGTTCAGTTACCAATTATATATTTTAACTACTGGTCAAACCTGAAAAGTGACCTGCATCAGCATATTATGAATATTGAGCAATTGTTAAGGAACAATATCTGGGATAAATTGCCTAAAAAAAAAAAAGTTTTTCTAACAGGAAACCTTCATGGTTTTAGTCTTCAAATTACCAAGCAAAGAGCCTCATCTTTCTTCTCAAAGAGCTGTCATACGGGCGTTTGTGCCAAGCAGGTTTCATGCCAAGAGATGAAGGAGAAGTTTACTATCTCTTGTTTCCCAGCCACTTTTTAAAAAAAGAATTCTCATACAGAATCTTGTAAGGAATATGTTTAGACCACATGTTTGCATCAATATGCGAAGAACATATTTAGTTTACTCTTAAGTTGCATGTTGTCTCAGGATCCTAAAGAGAGGTTTGGATCTAGTAGATTAATATCAGCAAATGCATTTGTAGTTTAGGATTATTATTGTCCTGCAGTAGTAGCTTAACTTTATAATACAATTCTGTGCTGTGAAGGATGCCCCCCCCCTTTACTAGATAGATTAAAAATCTGATACATGGACATCTGGGAACCTTCTTCTCAAAGAAAACCAGATCTATTTGAAAATTCCACATATCCCTGTGCCCTCCGGTGTGTTCAACATTCCAAGCAGATAGTTTCACTTGCCCAGACAGCATCCCAGCCTTTCAAAAGAGTCTACCCTAAATTCTTTCTTTTTAGTCAGTCAGAGATTTCTATCATGTAAATACTATGGGGAATATTAATCTTTTAATCTTCTCCTGAATAGAATGTATGTGTTTCATTTTTTTACAGAAAATGAAGAAGGGACAAGAGAGTGGGCATGGGTTTTTCACAAGTTCATTATAGAAATGTACATTTTGCTTATGTCATGTCTTTTCTATAAAGTTAAATTAGTTTCTTTTATTCCAAGAAGTTGATTTCTGAGTTTATATTACCTATTAATTTGTTTTGAAAATGAATCCTTAGAATTTTTAAAGAAATACCTTAAAGGTTCTACTTTGGTTCATTTATATCACTGTTTAAAATCTTGAAATTTCTATAAATTTATTTTGATGAATGTAAAGGAATCTTAGGGAATAGAATGCATTACAATCCCAGGTTAGATAATAAACCAGCAATCTCTAGACTATGATTAAGAGATCAAGAATGTGTCGTATAGAACGTTCATGTTCTTTTTTTCCCTTCCAGCCAAACTAGATTGGCACAAAACTGTATTTTGGAAAGCTGCCCAGGTGTGAATGAGGTCTACTTCCTTCTTCAACTCATGAACAATTTATTTATTTGTTATAAGCCATTGCATTGGGAGTGATTCCTGATGGTTGGCAATATAAATAAGCCATAAATGTACAGTAGTTCCAGAATATGCAACAATAAAACTGTAAAAACAATAAAAGCGTAACAATTAATAGAACTAAAAAGAAAAAGAAAAGAACACAAGCACCACTCCAACCTATCCACAATAATATTGACTCTCAAAGTCCTTTTTTACAGCCTTGCAAACCACAACTGCTCTACTACTTGGGGTTATTCTTCAAAGTGGGGGCCACTGTGGAAAAATGGTCTCTTTGTACAGGGAATTGTTGCATCTCCCCAATCTGGACCAACACACAGGATAGTCCAATTCTACCTGGAGCTAACTGGAAGCCAAGGCATGTTGTACTTTATAGGTTAAAACCAATATTTTGAATGGTGTCAGAGAAACTACTGAGTACTTATAGTGAAGGTCTTATATGGCTGTAGCTGTTATCACACATTAGTATCTAGGCTGCTGCATAATGCACAAACTATAAACTTCGAAGGCAACACAATAGAGCACTGTAATAGTTCAATTTAATGGTGATGAGGACATGTGTTATTTTTGCCAGGGCCTCCTACTCCAGGTGGTGCCTCTTCTGCTTCTTTTACTCATGCTATGTTTTTTTATGTTCTCTCTCTTCTACTCCTGGACAATACTCAGAAAATTTTATCCTACTTATTCATCAATAGTAAATGTTTGTAGAACATAAGTGCAAAGGGAAAGGACAGCTGGCATCTCTTGTTGCATTTTTTCAGTAAGATTTGCAAAAACCTTTTAAAGCTAAATTTAGTTGACATCTACAGTTGATTAGTGCCAGTTCAGAAAAAAAAATACTAACTTTTTTTTTGGGGGGGGGGTTAATGGTTGAATTCTTCATATTATTTCCCAGTACAAGCCCCCTCCAATTATTGTTCTATAATTAACTTCCCCAATAAAATATTGGCTAATATAATGCAATCAACCAAAATTAATATCAGACACCCATTATTAGGCTAATAAGTGGGAACCTGATTACTGTAATCTTTCAAGTATCTTATTACCAACTTCGAAGAATAGTTGTAGCATCATTTAGAAAATGTTGCTATTGGCAAATTGAGCCAGAACTGTAGAATTAAATTGCAAATCATACATATCTATCTATTCAAAATTTTGTGGCTGACAAAAATAAAATTTGAATTTATAGTTTTCACAGTATGTGAGGTCTGCCTGAAAAACATGCTCCTAGATTGGAGCAAAATGCAGAACAAACTGATTTATATTTGGTAGACCGGGTGCCTCACCCAACAGATAAGATATCTATCTATCTATCTATCTATCTATCTATCTATCTATCTATCTATCTATCTATCTATCTATCTATCTATCTATCTATCTATTATCTATCTATCTATCTATCTATCTATTATCTATCTATCTATCTATCTTGGAATGCAAGGAGAAATATCTGTGTTTTATAAAAGCACCTGTGATCTTTTTGTTGTTTGTTGCAGCTGATTATAAGGAAAGCTTCAACACCATTGGAAATATTGAAGAAATTGCCTATAATGCTGTATCATTCACTTGGGATGTTAATGAAGAGGCAAAGGTAAGATTTGCCAAAAATGCATATCTTTTGTTAGGGTAACATGCAGAATTGCTCAGCAAGCGAAACGTAAGGCATTATTTTGTACTGTTGTGGGGGAGGAAAATAAAACCAAACCAACTGTGCCCCACCATAAGCTCCTGAGTAAAAGACAGGATATACATCTATATCCATAAAAATGCAGATATTTTAATAATGGATATTTTGTTATTTAGATCTTGCTAGTCTAACATTGCCAATCTTTGGAAACTTTTATATTATATTGTTTAAGTACCAGATATCAGTGAAGCTATTTTGAAAGTTTGTACAAAGTACTGTATCTTCTTTTATTAGGAACATCAGGCCATTTAGCTTGAAATTGTCTACATTATCTATAGATAAATATGATGTTAGAATTTTAGAATTACTGGTTGATTAAAGAGTAATAGTTCCATTCATGCCTAAAACTAAAACTGGTTCAAGCATCACACTAACTTAAAAGCAGATATTATGTCTTAACGAGATGTGTGTGTGGGGGGGGGGGAAAGCCTTGGTGTTCCAATAGTTTCAGTGAATTCCCTTCTCTAATCTTACACGGAGTCTCCCAAGATGAACTTTGGACTTTCTAGATGCAAAGAATAAAGTTGGTATATGCCTTATTTCAAGCTGCATAGGTATTTGTCTTTCCCATAGAGAAATAATCTCCATTTACTGTATGTACTCCATTTGTATAAACGATTCACACAATTAGCCTATTTTCCAGCACTTGAAATGAACTTGAAGTAGGATGAAAGATTTACTTGAAGTGGGGTTTTAATAGCAGATCAGGATAACTTTAGGGAATGGCACATCATGAAGTAATACTTTCCAGGACTAACAGGTGTAGCTGGGGAATAAAAAAGAATCATCCCTTTTGACCAGGTAATGATTTTAGAGCAAATCTTGCTGATTTTTTTTTCCTGAATCAAATTTGTCATCAACTGGAGATAAACAGCTAGCTTCAGGGGTATCTACAAGGAGAGAAGGTCAAGATGGCAATCATGTCACTTTGGATCACAATACTATTTTTACTTTTTCCAGATTTAAACACTGTTTCCTGACCCGCTCCATTGATACCCAGTAACTCAGTTTTATTCAAACTGTATTCCAAACTGTATTCCCTCACAAAAAGATTGCTTTAGTTTAGGCCTGCTCAATATAGGGCCTGTGGGTTGGGGTTAAGTCTAGACCTCCAAGCCTCACTGCTGCTGTCAGTTCCGGCACTGCCACAGCTCCACTAGCCACCAAACAGCTGGCTGATGTGCCACCATCATTGCAGCCCATCATTGCAGTTTCTAATTTATGAGCTTTTTGTTGTCGAAATTATTCAAGCCTGCTTTAGATTATTTTAGTGGGATATATGCATCGTGCTATGAATGCATACATTCCATAATTGATAAGAAGCGTGTATCTGCACTTGAGTACAAAATATAAATAAAGTGGAACAGTAGAATTCCCATAAATTCATGAGAAGATGATAGTGAGAAATTGGTTAGAGAAAAAAGATAATTGTTTCTCATTCCCTTCTACCAATATTTTTTTTTTTTTGCCATCTTGTCATACAGTTAGTATATATAACTGCCCTCTAATATCTGGAGGTAAACATCTGGTGTTACCAGAGAAGTATGCATCATATATAATCTTGTTGGGAAATTCTTATGGAAGGGTGATATTTCTGATATTTTCAAAATTTCAGGACTTTGTTAAGCCAAAATATAGTTCTTGTGTCAGTTTCAGGAAATGTCTCCAGCATGTAACTGTTGAATTAGAGTTCCTGTATTAATTTTATATGGTAAGATTCGGATTAAATGCATACTGAAGCTGATTAGTTCACTAGAACATAATTGTCCTTCAGATCTTTAGGTGCTGTAGGTTTTCTTAATCTAGTTCAATTGTATATGTCAGCGAGAAAGAAATGTATATTTCATTTTCCTAGAATAATCTTCTTAATACAACAATTGTAGCAATACATTTTCTGTTAATGATTGATATTTTAAAAATATGGATTAAAACTGGAAACTATACATAAACACAACCATCAAAATATTTACTTGAGAATGCACTTATTTAAAACACAATTAAAATAAAATGTTTTGCCTAATACACCATGACGTCTTTTAAAAAGGCAGTGTTCACACATGACTGAACAGGTGTGTGATCGGCTTTTGCAGCAAATTGAATTTTTATGTAGTTGCTGGGGTGTGGTGCAGGGTTACAAAAGCTGCTTAAATGAAATGTAAACATTTTTTGTAGACATTGGTATTGAGCAGAAACAAAGGCGTTGAATTTGTCTGGAATTTATAAGGAAAAAAAGCTATAAAAGTTGTGCTAACTCTGCACAAAGAACTTGTATTTATTTAATGCCCTACTCTAGCCTGAGTTGAGTATTCAGAAGTAACTACATAACAAAAAACAAACAAACAAATATACAATTAGTACTTGAATTTGTTTCACAATTAATCGGTTGCTAATAGGATCTTTTTATGGCATGGAGTTCTCTTGAACTAAATATCTCTCCTATAAACAGGGTTTTTATTTTTAAACCATAAGGTTATTAAGATTATAACTAGATATCTTATACTAGAGGTGGGCTAGGTCAGGAAGCAGACTCTGTAATTTTGATATCAGGTATAATAACAGAAACATCAAAACCTGACAGTGTTTTCTTTCCCTCCTTCTTATACCTCAGGAAATTGGGGGGGGAGGGGAGTCATAAGAAGATAACTTACAGTTAGTTCACTGGTATAAATTGTGGTATTTCTCTCTTGTGCTTTTTATTGTTCCCTGTGGCTGTCAATAGCTTTGCAGGATCTTGTACCTCTGCATTTGTTTGGCTAAAACTAGATCAGGGGTAGGCAACCTTGGCTCTTTTATGACTCGTGCTGGCTCAGGAATTCTGGGAGTTGAAGTCCACGAGTCATAAAAGAGCCACGATTGCCTACCACTGAACTAGATAATTGAACAAACCGTGAACTGGGTGACTGTATTCAGCAGAACAAGAAAATATTTGATCTTGGATTGTTCACTTTATCTAGGATCTGTTATCTGCCTCCAAATATTTGTTTCCTGCATTGTGTCCTTAAAAGAGATTTCTCCTAATCGCAACCAGGGTGTGTTCCCTGCTGCATTTGATGATCTCTTGAGATGGGGACTTCTTGGTAATGGCATACCGATGAGGGACTCTCCTCCTCTCTGGAAAAATGCCATTGGTCCCCACATTGACAAGGTCTGACAGTGCTATATATTCAGACAACTTTCTAGCAATATGACCCAAAGAGAATTACAGATGGTCCTTGACTTATGACCACAATTGGGATCAGAATATCTGTTGCTAAGCAAGGTGCTTGTTAAGTGAGTTGTGCTGATTTTGCGAACTTTTTCCCATGGTTGTTAAGCAAATCACTGAAGTTGTTAAGTGAATCATGTGGCCGTTAAACGAATCTGACTTTCCCCCATTGACTTCGTTTGTTGGAAGAATCATGGGAAGATATACAAATGTCAATCATATTACCCTGAGACACTGCAACTGTCATAAATACATGCCAGTTGCCAAGCACCCAAATTTTGATCGTGTGACCATCGGGATGCTGAAATGACCATAATAATCAGTCATAAGTCACTTTTTCAGTGCTGTCATAACTTCAAACTGTCATTAAACAAATGGTCATAAGTTGAGGACTACCTGTACTTAAATCAAGAGCTTGTTGCATCATCACTCTTAGTAGCTTATGTAGGTTTTACTTTTATTTTACTCACTACTTTGGAATATTTTAAACTAAAACTTCCTTTTTCCTCTGAAACCAGTTTTGATTATATGGTTTCTTGCTGTTCAAGTATAATTTTAAGGAGAGTTCTGTGCAGGTCTTCGTAGAACTTTATTAGAGCATGCATGAGAAGCTTCTAGGAAATGTTATTCAGGTGTGGTACAAATACATTTCTTGATTCAGCTCCAATTAAACTTCAGTTAAAGGGAGGCGAGATAAGAGGATGAGCACTAGAGGAAACATTGTTGGAGGAGATAAGTACCTAGTCTGAGTGAAATGAGACAGCTTCTTCTCTTCCTAAACCACTCTCTATGCCTTTGATGTCTCCTGAATATGCTGGACTGCAACTGTCATCATTCCTACCTACCAGAGATGGGAGGGAGAGGAGATATATTCCAATCACCTCTGTTGCCAGTGCAGAAGAGTCAGCTGGTCCTCCACAGCAATTTTGTAAAACTATAAACATGGGCATCTGAAGAACCTTAATTTAAAGTATTTAAAAAATACTGTCTTCATTGGGTTTTTAGGATATTGTTTCAAAGTGATGTTGAAACAACATCTGAAAACAATGTTTTAGGTGTTTTAATTGCTATTAAATTGTACAATTTGCAAGCTACTAAGTATTGTTAGATTTTAGCGAGGTACAAAATATTACCAAGCCTTGAGAACATGATACTGGTCTCCAGTAAATGTCTGAGAATTTGGATAAACTTCTGATAATTTACTAGATGCTGGTACTAATTTAGTTACTAAGCTGGTACTTATTTAACGGCTATTGAATATCATCTTCAAGGCCATCTCCTTACTCTTCTATTGGCTGCTGGATGGACTGTACTACTCCTTTCTGCAGGCCAAAAGCTCACTATGACTTTTTCATGCATCAGAAGGCCACTTTTTGAGACCTATGTGTGCATTTTGGTTCTAACTCTACAGTCAGCTAAGAGTAGTTACCAAATTGTAACTCTTATTGTAACAGGAGGAGAGAGTTATAAAATGCATGCCTGGAGATTAGTCATCATACTTACGTATTGTTTCAATTTAATTAAAACTTCTATAGTTTTTTTTTTCTTCTGGCCCATCCTGCCTATTCTATTCACAGAAAAAGTAGAGTTTTCAAACTAAAAAAAACAACAACTCCATACCAAAAATGTTTGCACAGGCAGGTTGTTCTCAACTTAATGACCACAGTTGGGACCAGAATTTCCATCACTAAATGCTGCT